GATTCCACTAATTAATTCTAAGCTAATACGCGAAATTAGAAAAAATGACCAAAACGCCCCCGGGCCCACGTCTCGAAATCGGGTAAAAATTACGGAATATGAACCCTCATTCACTCACGAGTCTAACCATACCAAAATTTTCCAAATCCAATGTCAAATGCCTAATCAAAACTCATAAATTAGGTTTATGAACTTTTCCAAATTTCCTCCCAATTTCTAACTCCAAATCCGAAATTAGATGATGAATTCAAGTTTAGATTAATGGGTTATAAGCAAAAATGGGATAGGAATCATTATTCAATCGATATCTCTGAAAATCCCTCAAAATCTCGCTCAAATCCAAGCTCCCAAGCTCTACTTTGATAAAAATTGCTAAACCCTCGACTTTGAAATTTTATATTCTGCCTAGGCAAATCCTTAATCGTGATCGCGGAAACTCCCATGTGATCGCGAAGAGCAACATCACTGATCCCCAAATTAGCTCTACGCGATCGCGGTTGACCTCACGTGATCGCGAAGAGCAACTTCCAAATCCTCAGCTGCCTCACTTCTTCCTCTTCGTGAATGCGGCGTAGCCCACGCGTTCGCGATTCAACTCCTGCTATTACTACGCGTTCGAACTCCCCTTCCCGCAATCCCGTAGAACAAAATCCCCCTGCCTCATCCAAGCCTTCGCGATCGCGAGCCTCCTCACGCGATCGCGATGAAGAAAAGTCTGCAACAAAAACCAGCAAAAATCCGATCCTTCTCCAAGTCCAAAAATGGTCCGTTGAGCATCCGAAACACACTCGAGGCCCCTGGGACCTCAATCCAACATTCCAACCAATCCTAAAACATCATTCAAACTTGTTCCAACCTTCGAAACGCTCAAAACAACATCAAAACACCAATTTAACATCAGATTCAAGCCTAAGAACTCTAAAAACTCTCAAATTACGCTTTCGATCAAAAAGTCTATCAAACCTCGTCTGAATTACCTGAAATTTTGCAAGCACGTCACATTCAACACTACGGAGCTACTCCAACTTCCAGAATTCCATTCCGACCCTGATATCAAAATCGCACTGTCGAACCGGAAACTTCAAAAATTCAACTTTCGGCATTTCAAGTCTAAATAAGCTATGGACCTCCAAAACACAATCCGAATACGCCCCTGAGACTGAAATCACCAGCGAAGCTAACGGATCCGACGGAATTCCATTCTGAGGCCGTCTTCGCACTGCTCCAACTACGATCCAAATTCTAAAGTTTAAGCTCTCTTTTAGGGACTAAGTGTCCCAAAACACTCCGAAACTCAAAACCAAACATCCCGGCAAATTAAAATAGTAGAAACAAACACGGGAAAAGCAATTAATAGGGGATCGGAGCATTAATTCTTAAAACGTCAAGTCGGGTCGTTACAACCGGATCCGGGGGGCATGATCTCGATGGCTCTCGATGTATTGAAGATAAAGAGAAAATGTTTGTAGTGAATGACAGATGAATTGCTTGGAAAAAACTAACTTTTTTAGTTGTGTCTTGAGGCTGTTGAATCTCTTTTTAACTTTTTTCTTGAAATACAATCATAATTTATCGCTATACTGTTAGGTGGTAAAACAAATTATTACTGCCTGATCTCAATACAACTTATCAAAAGGTTGTTCTTCATTTGTTGCAATTGATGATGAACTAGAAGTTGAAAGATGTCATGGTTTCAGAAATTTGAAATATAACATTTCACAAATGATCTCAAGCGTGGTCATAGACCTTATTACAAGCAGAATCCACACGACTCTTGTGGCTGGGAATTATTTAGACTATTTAATTTTACGAAGGTTACCACTAACACTTATAGTCTAGTGGTACTGACAGAATTTTCACGCAGTAGGTGCAGATTCAATTCTCACTATTCCCCTCCCCCTATGTAACAATAATGTTTTTTCTTTAAATAAAAAAAACACAGTAGACATGTTTGCAAGCTCACAAGTATTTTCTTCCAGAAAATCAGTAGCTCATTGGGTGGTGGATTTTAAGGCATTTTGCCTATAGATTTTGAGCTTTGACAGCAGCATATCATAAGGGGGACAAATTTCTTTCACCGGTGGCAACTCGTTTAAACTTGTCACACAGGAACAAAGTAGTGGGGTGTTTTCTGGAACCAAAATCTTCACACCAAGGACGTCTTCATATGCTTTATGAGATCCAAATGTTGTAACCAGCAAGATTTGTAAGATCCCCAATTCATTTCCATGGATTACAGGAATTCCCTCTTCCACAATTCTTATTTTCTCCAACACTTCCTCTAGAGCCTTCTCTTGTTCTTCTCCAGTTGACTTCCACAACTTAGCCGTGCTGGGGATAAGATGCTGTATATATTAGAGCAAAGTTAGGATTAATTCAATCAAATTGAATGTTGTAGACATGGAAAAAAGTGAATAGAAATTCCGGTATCTGCAATAGAAATTCAATCAAATTGAATATTGTAGACACGACAATTCACACCCTTATGGAAGGGATTTTGTTAATCGTCAACCTACTGGAAGATTCTGCAATGGCAAATTAGCCACTGATACCACAGGTAAGTATATATTATTTAGTTACGGAGCAGAGGCAGATTAAAAATACTTATTAATTCATTGGCTTTTGCTCTTTCCCTTTTCCAATTGCTAAAGGAACAGGACTAACCTGATCTATGTAATTAGCCCAGAAACGAACTATGGCTTTTTCATAGGGATCTTGTGGCAATATTCTAGGTCCGGTCTTCCAGGTTTCATCGATGTATTCAAGAATGACAAGCGACTCTGAAACAGGTTTATCATCGTGAACAAGCACAGGGACCTTCTTGAGAACAGGATTGTACTTGAGGAGGTGGGGACTCTTGTTGCTCAAATCTTCTTCAACATACTCATAAGCTATGCCTTTGATTTTGAGAGCCAGTTCTACTCTCTTAACAAAAACGCTACCCCATGTTCCGTGTAGAATTACTTTGTTTTCCTCAGCCATTTTTCTTGATATTGTTATTGATTCAGCTGTTAATATTCTGCTTCTACTTGGTCCTTTAAGTAGAGTCCCAACTCCCAAGTAAACCTTATGTTAAGACTTTTCTTGCATTGGCAGATATTGAACATTGGAGTTTTCACTCTCCACCCACCCCAATTTATGTGGNTATATATATATTTATCTTTTTTCTCCTTTTTTGTCATTTTCCCCATATATATTCGTTTTTACGTGCTAATTAAAAAAATCGAAAAGTCACGTCTCATGAATAGTCTTGATTAATGACTACACTTACGCCTCTTCGTCTTCTTTCGTTCTTTAATATAATAAGTTACGTCTTTTTCTTTGGAAAAAAAAAAGTAACGCTATTTCGTCTTCTTTCATCCTATTTTATTTTATTTGAATGGAACTACAGAAGCAAATCTACTCCAATTCTTACCACCATTTTACTGCAGAAGGCCACAATATGACAGAGAGGGTTTGTGTTTTCCCAGTTCTCTTGGTTGTCAAGTAAAAAAGTATGATAAATCTTTAAAATTGTGGACTTTGTTTTAAGAGATCTTATAGTTAGATTTTTTAACGGTAAGTTTCTTGACCGCAATCAAAGCGCGATCACATTTTCTAACTGGTAGTCCAGCGAATTTGGAACTTTGTTGCTTTCGACAAGAAATTGCAGTTACATAACATTCTTATACTGAGTTTGGGTTGTTTATTTTCTCTTGCAGTTAATAGAAAAATTGCGGTGAGTACAAAAGATTTCCCATTTTTCATCCATGCTAATTGTTTGTTTGGTCACAGATGTGTAGTATTGGAATTGACTAGAAAAAGTTAACAGTATCCCTCTTACACTTTGATGCTAAACTATCAACAAAAGATTTGCTTATATCAAGGAACTTCAATTTTGTCGCTCCAAATTCATGTCTAGGTAACTTTGCCCTTTTCCTTATTTTTCCTTTATGTGCTTGAAAATGCATCAACAATTAATGTCTTTTTTATCTTTTTAATTAACCTCTCTGTTCCTCTTCCAAGAGTTATGCCTTTTAATCTCCACAATAGGTTTACCTCTTTCAAAATTGTAGTGGCTTTAGTCATTTTAAGATTAGGATTATTCTTATAGTGTGTCTATTTTGCTTTTTGCTGTTGTTAATCAGAAAGCATGTTTCATTCGTTACTTTATACTTATTGCACTGTAATTTTTTTTATTTAATTTTCTTTATTTTTGTTTGAGATCCATGTGCTGATATTCAACATGTTCAATTGGAAAAAACTAATTTTTTTTTACAGGTTTAAAATCATTATTTTGATCATTAGTGAGACTGACTATTTCTGCAGTGTGCATTTATATTTTCCGTTTGTTTTGTTAATCAGCAGGTAATTTTGATTTTTTTTCCTTAAATTTCTTTACTTTGTGCTTTTGGATAATTCTATTTGGGTTTTATTTTCTTTAATTGTGTATCGAGCTGATGCTCTCAAAGAGAGGCTCGAGGTTAGCAGATACGTGCTATATTATTCCCCATTTTCTCCGTATTTTTTTTCTTACTGTTTAGTCAGTCTATGATATTTATTCTTATTAGCATGTTAGTTCTACTTTTTCTACATTTATATAGAAAAAAATTCATTTCCTCGATAGAAAAGATTAAAATAAATATAGGATTAACGTCTACACCTTTATTTTACTTATCTAGGTCAACTTTCCAATTTTCATTTTTATTTCACTAAATGTATAATTTTTTGTATATGCAAGACATTTTTTCGTGTGAACAAGTATATATATATGTATGTATATATGTATATATGTATGTATGTATATATATATATATATATATAGAGAGAGAGAGAGAGAGAATATTCCATAATGTAGGAATTCTATTTATAGTTTTTCTTTTTTTTTTTAAATTAATTGTATTTTTAAAAGGTCGTCATCGCACCTCTTCGGAAGCATTATGCCTTTTCAGGTCCATAACTTCCACTTCGTTTGTTCATTCTATATTTCTAAATATGCATGGTTCTGCCTGTTTATATGTTTTAATTCCTTTATGGCTTGGGCATTAGATAGAAAATGTGGTTTATCAAAAATCGGTTATCATTTAGCATCACATCAGGGCTTAGTTTGGGACTCTTAGGTCTAGGGGTTTTATATAAAAGTCTGTTCCTTTTAATAATGTCACAATAAAATATTATATTAATTAGTGTCTTTTCATGTAGTTGTCCCGATAAATACGAATGTTGATTTGGGGATTATGACGGTTCAATTTTCACTATTCGCCGTGAGTGGTTAATACTGTCCCAATCTCTTCACCCTCTAACTTTTTCTTTTCTTCTATTCTCTCTAGCTAATACTTTGATGATTGTGAGATTGCTCTACCTCTCCCTTTTTCCGCCCATGGACAAATATAATTCTTCTTTTTCTTTCCTTTTTCTGTTGAGGCGAGAAAAAAATAATGTCGAAGCATTTTCTATGCCCTAGCATGTTTTCTTTAGTGCTGAATATAGTATATTACAATTTTTGCAACTATGTTTTCGTCCTTTCTCTTTTTTCGGACTCTCTTTTTCAAGGTTTTTTCTAACACTTTCTTTTGAACTTTTTCCAATTTATATTATGGGTGATCAATGAAAAGTATAAATTATAAAAAGCAGAATATTTGGAAATTACCAGTGAATTGGGAAAAAAAAGATTGAAGGGGATATGTAGGTAGGCATGAAGCTGGAAGTATAGTTTATACGTAAATTTTATAGAGTAACGGTAGGAGGGAGGGAGTAAAAGGGATGAAATAAGCAGTAGGAGAGAGGAACAAGAAGAGAAGTAAAGGATTGTCTGTAATATGAGATAGTAAAGAAAGAAAAGATTGAAAATCAAATAAATTACATACAACAAAACAACAGAGTAAGTATTATTTTAGTGGGCAGAAGAGAGACCTGTGTTGCCACTTTTTTCCTTTGTATTTAGTTTCTTTAATTTTTATTCTTTCATGTTTTTTTTTAATTTGAATAATAGAAAATTTTAGAAAAAAAATATTTTATATTATTTAATTAATGAAAGAAATCAAATATTTATATTTAATATATGTTCGACTAAGAGATTGTGCATTAAAATCACATACACATTATATCAAAAAATAAAAAACTTAATATTTTTTTCCATTTTAAAGAAAAAAATGTAAAAAGCGAAGAATATTTTTAACAATATTTAACATTGAGACTTCACATACACATTAATGCTTTTAGTTTACAATTGTGACTTCATCAATATTTGAAAAATTAATATATATGAATTTTTTTTATCTCATTTGAATTGGAAAAATTTATTTTAATAAAAGGTTAATAAATTGAGTAATGCACCGCGCGAAGCGCAGGTTTATTTTTTAGTTAGTACTATAATTTATAGTACTTGTTACATAGGAATTTTTTTAAATTTTTATGTCCGTATTTATAATGTAAATTAAGAAGTTTGATTCTTAAAATTCGAATTTCGTCACGTAAATTTGGACACAAGTAGTATATTACAAAAGTAAAGTTTAGTAATCTTGAGGATTCAAAATGAAAAATTAGTAGGTGTCACATTATGTACGCCATTTCTTGGGGCTCAAGAGTCAAAATCCCTTTACTTTTTAATTCCTTGTGCGCCCACCAAAGCCATTACAGTCAAGAAAGTTACAATAATAATTTAAAATGGAGTAGGTTCGGAATCAGCATCAACGGAATAATAAATTGCTCCTACAAACTACTTATTTAGGCGTCGCTTTCTTGGAGATTAAATTAGGATTTAGTTGGTCTACAGCAGGAGAGAGAGGCACGTTAAAATTGTAGAACGAAGTACATCACTACTAGAAATCCGTTAAATACCGACCAAAAAAACGTTAAAGTTGATCGGTTATGGCCAATTACTGACCAAAACGCGTCCATTTACGTGTGGAAGGTATTTTAACTGTTGGAAAAGCTTACCGACCAAAGTTGATCGGAAATTACCAACCAACGCTGGTCGATATGCTTTAAACGACCATCTGACACTGTAAATGATTTACCGACCAAAACTGGTCGGAAATATATTTTATTAATTTAATTTTATCGACCAAAGTTGGTCGGTGTATTAAATTTATTAATTTTTATAACCGACCAACTTTGGTCGGTACATGAAAGTATTTGGTCGGTACATGAAAGTATTTTTTAAATAAATTATTAAAATTAAACAAAACCGACCAACTTTGGTCGGTACATGAAAGTATTTTTTAAATAAATTATTAAAATTAAACAAAACCGACCAACTTTGGTCGGTAATGTAAAAATATATCTTTCTTAAATAATTAAAATTAAATATTACCGACCATCTTTGGTCGGTAAGCTCAACAGTGCAAGCAAAATACCGACCAAAGTTGGTCGGTAATATTGAATTCTGGGAATTCTTTGTTCATTAACCGACCAACTTTGGTTAGTAATATGTAATTAAATTTTTTGTTATTATTATTTACCGACCAAAGTTGGTCGATTTTTCTGGGTTTAATTTTGGCATAAAATGTCTGTTTTGGTAGCTACACCACCTGTCAGCACACCAATACCCCCAATTCACCTCATAAAACCCCTTATTCACCCCAAATTCATCCACATATCCAACGACAATAACAACACAACAATAACCAAATATCCAACAACCAAACATCCAATAAATATTTTAAAACCAACAAATTAAAGTTCAATTGAACATAACAATCCAAAACCAAGTTAAAACTAATTACAACAAGTTCAAAATTGGTCAAACTAATTCAAAACTGGTTCTACAAAGTATATAAAAGTATTGGTCAAGGGGTGTTTTGTACAACATCATCATCACTGTCTGATAAACTTTCATCTACAAGACGGTATAGAGAAGGTCTTGTGGAGGACGGGAAGAACGATCACAGGGAGGACGGGAGGAACGATCACAAGCAGGACGGGAGGAACGATCATGTGGAGGTTGACCCTCTGGCGATGACTCACGAGACCGGGGCAACGAAAAAGCTCCAGCAGATAGGAGAGTTCTGATCTGAGCTTGCATGCCAAGGAATTGGACATCTCTAAGCCTTTCTCTTTCCTTGGCCGCTTCTAGCTCGGATGTGAGCTTTGTTACTATCTCCTGCATAGCCATGAGGCTCTCCCTATTAAGTTACT